GAAAGAAAAAGAAAAAAAGGGCTAGCTGAGATGGCTGCACCGCGTGGGTGCTGAAGTTTGTGTTGATTTATTTGCTGGTAGCTCTGAAACCGGAATAAAAATGAAAGCTTGGGTTAACCCAAGCTGAGCATTTTTTTTCTTATTCAGTGTAAATGGAAAAGTAAAATATATAATATTTTGGCTGAGTGAACCATGCAGCTTAGCTCAAAATCAAATGTTTCATTGCTTTGAACTCGTCTTTACACTTATAAACTAGATATGCACGTTTACTTGCATACAGAGGAAGAATGTAAATGCAATCCACTGCCGTTCTTTGCCTAACCTGCAGCAAGACAGTGTGGCTGCTAGATATCATCCGCGAGGAGGATGAAGTAAAGAGGGTACAGGACTTTACATCTGGTACCAAATTAATTTGGAAGGACCTATTAGCAATAATGAGACAGGACCATATTTTTACACACACACGAGTCCTTAGCCCAGTCTCTGGAAGGGTTGGTTTGTCTCTATATCCCTTGCTCTATATGAACTCAGCTGAAGTGGCCCAGTTTCTCATACGTCCAGGAGCTGAGGAGACTCAGAAGCTCGGGGAAGAGAAAAAAATTGCATTGCTTTTATTTTGCCATCTGTGCCTTGTCTCCCTGCATGCAGTTCTCATGTTTGAACTTTTTGGGATTCTTCCAGGAAGCCCTTGCAGCAAGCACTGGCACCAGCACTTCCCTTTTCATAAGGCAGCTCCTTGACCGGTAGGGGTGGCTCCAAGGGAGAAGGAACCGCATCATTTCTGTGCAGCCTTGCCTTGCTGGCCATCTGAGGTAGCCAGGAAAGGCATAGGTTAGTGCTAATTGAGATGTGGCCATCTGTCAGGCAGGAAGCATGCCAAGGCCACCTCGTGATTTGTTATAAGGGAAGGAACCAGCCATTGGTGGCAGTATTTAGGTGCTACAGAGCTTGGACAGGGTCAGACAGATATCTGGGATGATAAAGGTTCCCCTTGGATGTGATTAAGGATCTCCTGGGTTGTTCAGCATCTCTCATTAAATGACTTTTCGTCCACTGTGAAGCTGCAGCATAACTGCTTTGTTTGTCAGAGCTGAGTGCCATGAAAATTGACCTGTTATTTGTCTTACAGTATCGCTCAGCCTCCGAGGATGTAGGGACACATATATAAACATGGTAGGAGATGATCCTTTCCCAAATATCTGGTACTTTAAGTAGCCAGGACGGTGGGAGGTGGAGGAAGGAACCTAATCCCACTGCAGGTCTTCTTAGACCCCGATTTATATGGGTATGTTGATGCCCAACTGGGCAGACTTCCAGTTAAATTAAGTGAATTGCAGATGGTCACCTTGGGTTGGCTCAGCCCCTTAAAGAGAGATGTCCAGGCCTGTGAAGAAGCTCAGTGGCATCCAAATAGTGTCAATGGACTCAGCATGAGACATCTGTGACGAGATGTCCAGGCCTGTGAAGAAGCTCAGTGGCATTCAAATAGTGTCAATGGACTCGGCATGAGACATCTGTACCTCTCTGAAGCAGTGGCTGGAGGCAGGAAGCTGCCCCAGTAGATAGAGAGCTGAGCTGAGCCCTGTGGGTCTGATTTCCACCTTGGAAATTGTGATTTAAGGAGAATTGCAGGCCCTTTTCTTGCTGCCTGCAGCCTACATAGTGCGAGTGAAACCTTATAGCTTAGAAACCTCAACAGCAACATCAAGGACACAAGGGCTTCCAAATTCCCCACCACCCTGCAGATTTAAACTAGTCAGTGAATGCCCGTCCTGTAATATTAGGAAAGTGCTTTGGGGCTGGCAAGAAACAAATGAAAAAAAGTGTTTTCCTTTCTTCACTAACAGGCCATGAAAATAAAGAGAAGTTCAGATTCCTCCCTCCAGCCTGCTGCTGCAGCTCCCATGGCAAGAACATGGTCCCAACAGTCCTCAGGATGTCTGCCAAGAGCTTGCAGAAGATGAGACCTGTTAAGGCAAGCAGGCAGATGACAGCTCAGGTCTGGCTGCCTGGACAGACCACGGGACATGCTGGACGTGATTAGAGAAGATGACGAACACAAGAAATAACAGAGTGAGAAGATGATGAAAATTCCGGGTATCTCCATGAGAAACTATCAGGTTTCACATGGAGAACAACGCTGATATGAAAACCTATAGAAGGGCAAACTTGAGGAGACAGGCCAAAATGATAGGACATTATGGTTAGTGAGTAGTGTAGGCGAGGAGAGAAGGCTTGAATACTCCTTAATGAATGGTGCCACAAACATTTAACTAGATTCACTAAAGGAACTAACCCGTCTGGCTGATAAATACCTAGCTGCCAGGAATGCTCATTGAATTAACTGATGCCACCTTAAAACGCAGTGGGGAATAGAAATTTCTCTTTCGTATCAATTTCATTGTGCTTACCTGCCTTTTATATATTATGAGGGGGTTTTCTCCCTTGGAATATCTGTTATAGAGAGAGGACAGGTTTTTCCCAAAGAAAATGTCCTAACAAATACCCTCGAGGGGCTCTGGTGATTCCCTGCTTGCCCTGTGAGATGCCCAAAGCCAAGGAGGGACTGGTCTGCTTGCTGTTTTCAGAGTAGGGTAGCTCACTGCCTGGCTCATGTGGCACCCTGCTCTGACCGTGGAGATGCTTTTGAGGTGGGTGTCCTCCACTTGTCCTAATCTAGCCAGAGCTTTCAGGCTCAAAGGCACTTGGGCAACCTCCAGGCTCCTCCAGGCAACTTTTTGTCTCTTGTCCTTCCTTCCTGTCCATGGGAAGAGGTCTGGATCCCAAACTGCTTGTCCTTTTCACTTTGCTCATCATTGTCCCCAAAATCAGATATCTTTTTTTTTTTTTTTTTTTTTTTTTTCCCCATGACAGTGAGGGCATCATCTACGGCTTATATGGTTCTCTCCTGGTGTCTTTGTATATTCTTATAGGCAAGCAGAGTTTTGAGATCCCTTCTCACAAAAGATCTATAGTGGAAAAGGAAGACATTTTCCACATAAAGACAGTATTAAAGGTAGTCAGGGACAGATCAGGCCTTTAGTGTTGAAGGAAAATCTCCCAACTGAAATCAATGAAGGGTTGTGCTTCCAAATTAATTGCATGCTTCTGTCCTTAGCGTCTGGGCATGGAATCAGAAGTGATGAGCCAACAAAGCAGCACTGAACTGCTCCTGCGAACAGTCACCATCAATAATGAGAAATACTAGGAGAAGTACTCTTTGAAATTCAAATCACAAGGAGCATCGTTTAAAGAGGAACTCAGGAGAAGCAGAAATACCATGCACCACACATTAATTGTCATGCATGTGACAAAACCTTCTGTATTGCTGTTACTTAGCAGCATTAAATTTATTCCCATATTATTAATGCCATACCTGGGATGAAGTAATTAAACCGGCAGCCCGTTTCTTCCGAACTGGAGGCCAGGCCTTCAGCTGGTGTAAATCAGAATAGCTCCACTGCAGAGACTTGGATTTACAACCAGTTGGGGAGCTGAGCCCTTGTTTCTAAAAAAGGAGAGCTGAAAACGAAGTTTAAACCATCATCATTGCATGTTATTCCTTCTACACCAGTGTAAGGGTAAGTGGGGCTAAAGTCCCTGATGACCTGGAACTGCTCCCAAAGCACACCGCAGGCAATCTGGAAACTCCTCCTAGCAGACTTAACAAATTAGATTTGGAAGGTTAAATATTTAATGACATGCTAGTGATTTCTTCCAAACGGGCAGACTTGGTTGCTGCTACATCCTATTCCTTTTATAACCAAATTCATCAGGAATGCTTACAGATCAGTTTGGACAGGAACGCTGTATATTATGTGTGCAGGGAAAGAGATGATGTAGAGTTGATCACCCTGTCCTGCCCTTTCAGATCTTCTAGCCACAGCTGCATTTTGCCCACTTTCCAGCCCAGCTCCCAAAGTGCTCGTACCCCCGTGACAGCAGGATGACTCCACCTGCATTGTCTCACTCTAGAGGTGCAAAAAATTGTGTGTGCACGTTCGACAGCCGCCTTTTCCGGACGACTTTTTTGGGCTTTTTTGCATTCTTAAGGTAGAATTTTCTGGGGGTTATTTACCCATCTTTAGTCAAAGCTGAGTTTTACAGACACCATCTGGCCCTCAATTAAAAATGGTAAAATTTTCTATAAAAATTGATTTTCAGTAGAAATTGTTTGAGAGTGTTGCTTGTGGTTTTGAGGTGTTGTTTGTTTGTTTTTTTTTTCTTTTCAGCAGATGCTGGTTTTCCTTGAAAACTTTTGCTTTTAAAAGGAAAATTGAAGCCCTCTCCACAATGTTTAGCTGTTCCAACTTTTCATTTCTTCATTAACAGAAAACTGCAACGATTAAGGTTTGGAGCATATTTTTAGAAGAAATATCACAAGTTCTGATGAAGAACTGTTCCAGATTTCAGGGTTCTTCTGTTCTGAATATTGTGTACAACTAGGTACTCATCCAAATGAAAAAAAAAAACCCACAAACTTTATTCAATTTAAAGGTGTGCTAAGCCTTTTTCTTAATGAAAAAAAAAAAAAGGCATTGCCTTGGATGTTTATACAAGGTTTCCTGCTGATCTGAGTACCACTGGTGCTTAAATCTCAAATGCAGCTTTAAAATTAATTCCCATGCATTTCTTCTATGAGGACAGGCTGAGACAGTTGGGTTTGTTCAGCCTGGAGAAGAGAAGGCTCTGGGGAGATCTTATAGCCCCTTTCTGTACCTCAAGGGCCCCACAAGAGAGATGGGGAGGGACTCTTTATCAGGGATTGGAGAGATAGAACAAAGGGCAATGATTTTAAACTGAAAGAGGGGAGATTTTGATTAGGTCTTAGGAAGAAATTCTTTGCTGTGAGGGTGATGAGACACTGGAAGAGGTTGCCCAGAGAAGCTGTGGCTGCCCCATCCCTGGAGGGGTTCAAGGCCAGGCTGGATGGGGCTTGGAGCAACCTGGTCTGGTGGGAGGTGTCCCTGCCCAGGGCAGGGGGTTGGAACTCAATGATCTTTAAGGTCCCTTCCAACCATTCTGTCATTCTATGAAAGAAAACACCAGAAGTCTCTTTAACCTTATTGCTTCTTAATACACTCAGAAAAATTTTGCCCCGTAGTTCCTTTACATGCATCGACTTCAAAATAGCAACTTCTTCTTACATTCATGGGTTTGACCAATTAAAGATCCTTTGAATGCATAACTCAATACTTATGAACTTCAAATGTCTTATTTTTTGCTGCTAGACCACTGGCAATATTTTTTTTTCTTCATCTGCTGACAAAATACCAATACATTATGCCAGTTTTTACGGGTGTCTTGTAAATTTTTCTTTGCTTAATTAGTGCATATTTTTTCCATATAAAATGACTCCATTAAATGCCTCTTGCCTGCAAGCAGTTAGTCTGCCAGCTTTATCCACCTCTTGTAATCTACCTGTTCTATAAATTACCAGAATCACCGGGACAGTAACATTCTTCTTTCTTTACATTTCTGTGTAACGTTTACCAGAAGGGAGGCAGAAGGAGTTTAAGTTTGGGGATTTATAGCAGTCATTGCTTCATAAGTAATGAATCATAATAATATACAAACACTGATTTTTAATTTTTTTTTAGTCCAAAAATCTCCTTTACTCCAGGGAAATGCAGAGCACGGTCCCATAGGGAAATTTTCTACTGATCAGCAAGGGGAAAACTTACAGCAGACTATGCTGAACATACAGAACGTGGGAACCAGCACAGTCTGCTCAAGACAGTTGATGAAGCAGTGTTACAGAAGTGGTATGTAGAAGTCCTATGTGGTATGTGCAGTTCTAACCTCAGACCCGGTCAGTTGAAGCTTTCTGGGGCGTGCTAGTGCTATCCATTTCAAGCTACTGTAATTTCCAACCACAACACACCTACAGGTAAGTCAAGGAAGACGACATTTGCAAAAAAGCTTCAGCAGGTGTGAGTTGGCATGGCTGAGGAGAGTAGGCTGATTTTCACCAGGCAATACCCTAAGAATCCTGTAGTCCATGACCTCACCCCAACATTACTCTTTGAAAAGCATAAAACATAAGAAATTTGGTTTATATTTACACAGAAAGCAAATGTGTGACTATGTTCTCATTGTTCCATAGGACAAAAGACTTGGATGCAGACTGCAGGGACTGCAATTTCAGGTGAGTTTAGTAGGGTTTATCTTTTGTCAGTTTTTCTTCTCTGTCTGAACACCTCCTCTGCCATCATTATCATGACTTCACGTCTTTCTTGAGGCATCTGTGGAATTTCAGTGGGATATTCTTGGTGATGCACTGAAAACCAAACTGGCTTGGTTTTAGGCCTGGTTAAAAAGGTGGTATGCAAAAATCCTGAGGAAATCCTTATTTTTCATCCCTGTGAACATCTGAAGCTTCAAGGAAAATGTTCACTGAAAAGGCAAGTTTAAAAAGCGCTGAGGTGTTCACACTTTGATGGAGTGTGTGCCTTCAGTGTTTGTGAGAGGGCCTTTCTCCTCCCACTGCTCCTTTGCTGCTGGAGGATGTCACGCCTTGGCTCCTTCAAACCCAGATTTTCCAAGTGTCTCAAGTACCAACTGGAGTATTCTCCAAAAATCATTTGCTAGCTCTCCTTGCTGGTGAGAAGACGGTCTTTCTCCCCTTGAGGGCAGTGGTAGAGCGGGATCAGGAATTCCTTTAATGCCCGTGAACCTGTGGGTCTTGCAGCTTGCTCTACAATGACCCTTCCATATAGTTTTATTCCAAATGAATCATCATACCTGTCACTGGGAGTGTGGCCACAGCAATCACTCAGAGCCTGCCTGGCAAAAATTTGCCCAGGAAACATTGCTTGAGGCTAATAGAAGTATTTTCCCAAACAGAACCTCAGCAAGTTCCACATTAATTTTTCTTGCACACCAACTTTTGAACCTTGGTGTGAGTTCAAGAAAGAGACCGAGCGAGACACAGCTGTGGTCACAAAGCATTTGTGCACGGATTCCAGGTGCTGTGCCAACTTGCCAGAGAACTCTATATAATTTGCATCTTTTATGGGGTTGTACCAACACTGATGATTCTTGGTACCTGTCCTAAAACCCAGGCCACAGCCATAAAGAGTATCCCTAAGTCAAGGATGTGTCCTTCTTGTGTTCCTGTGGTGATGAACCCAAAGGGAAGTCTTCCTGTCTTGCTTACTTCTTGTACCCTTGTGAAGGTCCCATATCACATGCAGCAGGTCATTTAAGCTGCTGCTGCCTTGCTTAGTGCCTGTCTGCCTGTGGAATAGAAGACATGTTTGCTATCTGTGAAGACGACACGCAAAGAGCAGCTGAGTTGCAGGTGTCTCTCTGCCAATAGCTGTTGGACACACAGTGCCCATGGCCGATCAGCCAGCAGTGAAACTGAATTGTTCTGGGTGGTTTATGAGTCAGCATCAGCTGAATTTCAGCCAGGAGAAACTGGGCATTGCTTTCCCAGGAGCAGACACGGTGGCGATTGGAGGACAGCTGCTGCAGTCTGAGGGCAGACCTTTGCCTTCGGCAGTGATCTCACAGCATCCCCACCTTCCAGCTCCCCTGGGGTCCTACCAGATCCCATGCCTCTCCAAAGCTGCTCACAGAGCGTGACTGCAGCTGATTGAGCAACGTTTCAGCTCGTAGCTCTGCTGAAACAGAATTGTCCTCCCTTGTTCAACAAAGCTGAAGCTTCTGTAACAACATTTCCCACCCGCGAGTACATCTCCATCACTTCTGTGGTGAAGGAGGTTTGTTCTGTGCAAGCCCATCTTCAGGTGCCACTTCAACAGGAGAGCGGAGATAACCATTCGGCCTGTGGACTGATGTGGAGCCACTGCCAACAAAAGACAGAGGAAGCTATTGGCTACAAGTCAGCTGAAAGACACGATGGACGTGAATGATATCAAGCAGCCTTTTGTAGAAAATTTCTCTGCTTCACTTAGCTTTTGCCTTATGGTGTTTGTGGAAACTTGGTTTCAGCCCTATCTTTGTGGGGTTTTGCTCTAATGCAGTGGTCAATCATAGCTAGTCCATGGGCTTTTGGAACCTTGCGAGTTCATCTGTAGAAGTTAACATTAGAACACAGCATTGTGGTTTTGGACATCACAGCATGAAGTACAAGGGCCAGAACATACTCTGAATGGGACAGCTCTTACATCTTTTGAGCCCCCAAGGTGAGCAGGGATTTATACCAACGTTTGCTTCAAGAACATCATTTAAAATGCCAGGACTGTGAAGGGTACAAGTTTTCTTGATGTCCCTCTGGTGATCACTGTCCCACATCATCCTTCTCCATCAGGCTGTGATTCAGCAGCTATGTCCACCGGGGCAAGTCTACCTTTCTCAGCCAGGAACACGTGCTAAGAAACCTGTGCTGGAAATGCAGAAGGAGAGCAGATGCTCTTGGCAATTGACACTCCTTTTTCAAGCACTTGCCCAAGGCTTTTACAGCCCGGCAAACATGGACTAGAAATTCCACCTACTGGGAAGCAGCTCAGAGCAGGGATAATAATAACTCTATATTTTAATCTTTCCAGCCCTTGGGTGAAGTCAGAATTTCAAAGAGTGATGGAATAGTTTAGGTTGGAAGGGACCTCTAAAGGTCGTCTAGTCCAACCCCCTGCAATCAGCAGGGACATCTCCAGCTACCTCAGGTTGCTCAGAGCCCCATCCAACCTGACCTTGAACATTTCCAGGGATGGGGTTTTTTCCACCTCTATGGGCAACCTGTTCCAGTGTTTCACCACCCTCAGATTTTAGTCTGAATCTACCCTCTTTTAGGGTAGATTTCTTCAGAGCTTTACATTTCCTCAGGAAGGCAGTGTAAAAATCACTTCAGTGCTAACACAGACCTGACGTGTGCAGGTGGGCTTTGCAGGAGCCCTACGTCCAGCTGAGATGCTGCTGCATCCTGCCAATGGAGAGCAGGGTGGAAGGTATTAGTCCAGGAATTAATCTGGCCCCTGAGCAGACTGTAGGATGCTGGCACCAGTCTGCAGCAGCCTGAGAGATAGTTGTTCCACTGAGACACCGAGAGCTGTAGCTCCCACGGGACCCAGGAACACAGAGGAGCAGCAGTTCGGCACAGGTATGGACTTGTCCTCACTGCTGAACAAAGCCAAGCTGAATGCTGAGGCAGAGAGACCAGTTGAGGACTCTCAACTCCAGTTGAGACTCTAGAGGAGTCCCTGGGACATTCCTGCCTGAGGACAGGAGGCTGCGTCAAAGTGGTGGCTCCCTCTTCCTCACCTTTCCCATGGATCCCATGTCTATTATAGAATCATAGAATCATCTGGGTAGGAAGGGACCTCCAAAGGCCATCTAGTCCAACCTCCCCGCAGTCAGCAGGGACACCCCCAACTAGACCAGGTTGCCCAGGGCCTCATCGAGCCTCACCTTGAATATCTCCAGGGATGGGGCCTCAACCACCTCCCTGGGCAACCTGTTCCAGTGCTCCACCACCCTCATAGTAAAGAACTTATTACTAATGTCTAATCTAAATCTGCTTTTCTCCAGTTTAAAGCCATTCCCCCTTGTTCTGTCATTGACAGCCCTTGTAAACAGGTTCTCCCCAGCCTTCCTGTAGGCCCCCTCAGGTACTGGAAGGCTGCTATTAGGTCTCCCCGGAGCCTCCTCTTCTCCAGGCTGAACAACCCCAGCTCCCTCAGCCTGTCCTCGTAGCAGAGGTGCTCCAACCCCCCAATCATCTTTGTGGCCCCTCCTCTGGACCCGCTCCATCAGGTCTATATCCTTCTTATATTGAGGGCTCCAGACCTGCACACAAGACTCCAGGTGAGGTCTCACCAGAGCAGAGTAAAGCGGCAGAATCCCCTCTCTGGACCTGCGGGAGGGCTGCCCAGCAGGGGCAAGCGGAAACACTCAGCCAAGTGCTAAATGTTTAATGGTATTACCTGATCGATTTTGAACTGTGCTTACTCGGCAACACGCCTCCCAGGGCCTCTTACGTAAAGCTGGAGATGTCTTTCCCTAATGCGGCACGGCGGCTTGGAAACCCACCGCCTGCCAGCAACAGCCTAAGAGCTGGGATTTAAAATGGGAGCTGCAGCAGCACCGCTTGCCCCACGTGCTGCCAGCTCGGCCTCTCCATCCCCACGGCCCGTGGTGGGACGGCGGTGTGGCACTCGCTGTCTGCGGCAGGACATCACCGTCCTGCGCAGTGGCCGGGCCTCAACTCTTCTGCTGCCGGCCTTCCCTTCCAAAGCTGGCTCCAAGCACGGGGAAGGGACACCCGTGCTACATGTCTTTATGGCAGCAGCCTCTTAATGTCTTCTGAGGTCCTTCCCCACCTTAGGGAGCTGGACCTCACTTGCTTTTCCAGGGATAAAGGAGAGAGTTTCATTTCAGGCACCAATACAGGTTAGGCGTGGATCTGCTGGAGACAAGTTCTGAAGAGAAAGATCTGGGGGTCCTGGTAGACAGCAAAATGCCAATGAGCAAGCAGTGTGCTCTTGTGGCCAGGAAGGCCAACGGAATCCTGGGCTGCGTAGGGAAGAGTGTGGCCAGCAGGTCAAGGGAAGTCATTGTCCCCCTCTACTCTGCACTGGGGAGGCCATAACTGGAGTACTGTGTCCAGTTCTGGGCTCCCCAGCTCAAGAGGGACAAGGAGCTACTGGAAAGATTCCAGTGAAGGGCAACGAAGATGATTCAAGGATTGGAGCATCTCCCTGATGAGGAGAGACTGAGAGAGCTGGGACTCTTTAGTCTGGAGAAGAGAAGGCTGAGGGGAGACCTTACCAATGCCTATAAGCACCTAAAGGGTGGTTTGAAGGAGGAGGGAGCCAGACTGTTTTCAATGGTTCCCAGTGAGAGGATGAGGGGTAATGGGCACAAGTTGGAACATAAGAGGTTCCACTCAAATATGAGAAAAAACTTCTTCACAGTGAGGGTGACAGAGCCCTGGAACAGGCTGCCCAGGGAAGGTGTGGAGTCCCTTTCTTTGGAGATTTTCAAGACCCACCTGGATGCCGTTCTGAGTAACGTGCTCTGACAAGCTCTAGGCAATCCTGCTTCAGCAGGGGAGTTGGACTAGATGATCTCTATGGTCCCTTCCAACTCTAAAAATTCAGTGAAATTCAGTGAAATTCCAATGAAAATGCTAAATAGGCATTTAGGGCTGACCCTCACAGTATCTCTTTTCAAATATCTGTCTTGTCTGAAAGTCAACCATTGATAGATCTCTTTTCAAATATCTGTCTTGTCTGAAATTCAACCATTGGGCTCTCAGTGCAGTATTTTATGCACCCATCTTATGGTAATTCCAGCAAGGCAGTCTTTCCTTTGCTTATGGGAAAGTTGCATGGAATAGAGTTATGGGTCTTACCAAGGTTAAGATTCAGCCCACCACCTGCTCCCCTCTTCTTGGCTGATCCAATTATCCTCTTAAAGGAATTAGAATGGTATGCCACCATTTCATCTTGAAGAACTCACGTTGGCTGTTTTTTAGCACTGTGTCACTTTCAGGTGTTGTACATTTGTTTTGGCGTCCTGTGCCCCTGCCTGGTCATTCATCCCAGTATCTTTCCATGTTGAGTTGAGGCCGACCAACGAGTCCTCCAGTGCCCCTCCTTTCACTATGGGAGCCAGAGGACAGGACAAGTAAGAAGCAGTGGTAAAAGCGCTGAGCAGGGCAGAGGATTTTGTTCTCCATTTTCCAACCACCCCTTTGGTGGTTCAAGTGGTGGGTGTTCTAGTCTGCTAGGACCATTACTGGGTGGGAAGAAGCATTGCAAGGACACCTCTTGGGATGGAAGAGACCTGCTGTCGCAGGAGTCTTCAAAGTCACCTTCTCATGCGCTGAGGGGTGTTTCAAACCCGTGTGTGCTTAAAATGATGGTCATCTGGGAAAAATGTCCTGGAAAAAACCAAATGTCCCACACAACTGGCAGTGAACTTTGCTTAGTTATCTACAGTTGTTACATATTTAATTTTTTTAAAATGAAAATGGCAAGGAGAGAAATAAAACGATGTAACCATGAATTGGTTGTTGTCTTGCCAGATTTTCAGAATTAACCTCTGAACAGGCTCAGAAAGGAGAAGGGATGGCATAGAAAACATGACTGAGTTGCAAGAGGCAGCTTTGTTGCATGAGATGGGAAGAGCTCATTTCTTCCAGAAAATAATCTGCTTTTTATTGTACTTCTTTACAGTCACAGAATCACAGAATGATATGTGGTTGGAAGGGACCTCTGGAGATAACTAGTCCAACCCCCCCTGCCAAAGCAGGTCTACCCAGAGCAGGTTGCACAGGAACATGTCCAGGTGCGGTCGAATGCCTCCAGAGAAGGAGACTCTACCACCTTCCTGGGCAGCCTCTTCCAGGGCTCTGCCACCCTCACAGGAAAGAAGTTCCTCATCATGTTTAGGTGCAACTTCTTCTATTCAAGTTTGTGCCCATTTCCTCTTGTCCTGTCCCTGGGCATGACTGAAAAAAAGACTGGTCCCATCCAGTCCATTCAAAATGTGAAGAACCAACCAACCATTCCACCCTACAGCATGCGCCAGTATCTCAGCTGTGATGGGTGGCAGAGTCCACTAGTTGAGCACTGTGGAGCAGATGTTTGCTCTTCTCAGCATCCTGCCAGAAGTGTCCTGGTCAGACAGAGGTGTTGGCAGGCTTCAGCCCTTTGCCCAGCTGCAAGGAGGAAACAACCCCAGTGTCCCCAGCCTCTGCAGCACTGTCTGTGCCAGTCTTTCAGGTTTCTGTCTCCAGGAAGTCACGTTTGTGGTAGGTGGAAACCTGGAGATACTGAAGGCAGAGGAAATTTTGCTGCTGACCTGCTCATCTTCCTTTTGCCATTATCAATCTGCCTCTATGCCGAGGGTCCCTTCAAAGAACAAAAGTTTCCTGCTGGTGATGTGAGGTTGCCTTTAATTCGTGCCATGTCTCAGGGCTGGAGTTTGAAGTTCCCTGGCACCTTTTCCGTTTGTAATTGGTTGTTATCTCTAAGGGGAGCTTAACTGGGAAGTTGCAATCTGATGACGCTATCTACAGGGGGAAGAGGAAAGGCCAACTCATTTTCTCTTGGTGAGAGAGGTTTGGCTGTTTGGGAGATGCTGTGGAACATAAGGAGGCTTCTTGAACTTTTCTTATTAGCTCATTTCAGTAATTGAGACTGCTGCTGGCTGCATGCTTAAGCAGACCATCAATCTCAGCTCTGTATGCCTCCAAATCTCTTACAAAAGGGCAGAAGATGGGCTAGGCTGGAAGAGTAAGTCTGCCTAGAAGCAAAAACGGGAGCTTCTGCTTCTTGCATATACTGAGACACAGCCTGTGAGTGCCATGGGAAGTCTTGATGACTAGATGTGAACTAGGAATGTTGATGTGAACTGCCCAGCCCTCCCGTGAAAAGTGCAGGTAGCCAAAGATTGCTTCTGGGTCCCCTTTCACCTTTGCTCTGTGAGGATTTGAGGCAAATGATGAGTCTGTTCTGGCTGACTGTCTCCAGGAGAGCGAGAGAAACTTCCTCCTGCATGATCCCATTACCACTTGGGTGTTACCAGGAAGCCTGACAGCGCATTGGAAGGAGTCACAAGAGCAGAAAAGACAATTCCTTAAAAATCATACCTTACCCACACGCATCCCTTCAGGGTCTAAAAAGGAGTGAGATTAAGGTTGGAGCTGTTATTTCTTCTTTCTTTCTTTCTTCACCACTCTGTGTTCTTTAAGCAATGAAGAGTTCCTTTCTCCAGCTCATCATTTGATTAAGGGTTAGCTTCATGGGACTGCAGTTATAAATCTGATTAAGAAGCAACACTCTGAATAAGGGGAATTGGGAGGGAGTCTTATCCAAGTCAGGCAGTAATTTCTGAGTTGTCTCAGTATGGCAAGCAGGGCTGGGCAAAACATACCTTCTGAAACTTTTTACCGGGCAGAAAAGTCATTTTTTGACAAGATTAAGACTTCCCCCCACCCCCCCATTTGTGTTACTTTCTTTTTTTCCATCATATGCTGTATTCAGCAAACCATATTTTCAGCAAAGTGGTTTCCAAAGAAGTTCCTTGTAACGTTTGCTTTTTGTGGGCTTCATTCTTCCAGTTCCCTTGAACTCCAATTCATGGGGCTGAGGGTCAAGGGACACCAGAGTCTTCAGCTCTTCTTCAGGAGGTGAGTACTCCTGTGCAAAAAAGTGTTGCTTAGAAGCGACAGGCATAAAAAGAGTTAATATTTAAAACAGCTGAGTTGTACTGACTGGGACATCTGGTGATGCCTTCTGCTCCCAGGGGACTGTGTTAGAGATCTGGCTGAGCCATATCCAGCTCTGTGTTGTAGTCCACTGAGGAGATACCAGGATGTCTCTTTGGGCCCTGCAAGGAAGGGGATGGTGACTTCTGTGCAGCCCAAAACCCGCTGTGGATTATCCTCCAGGCACCAAGGTGGGTTTGGCTGGACTCCCTCAGTACCAGCCTAGAAAGGCCCTTCCAGCTGTACTCTGACTCCTGGTCCTCCCAATCTTTGGAGAGATGAGGAAGGAGGAGGAAGAAAAACCATTAGCTTATACCTATGAAACTTCACGTTCAGCTTTTATAGACAGACTCTCGGTTATTTTAGAATTACGGATTAACGGTATTTCGGAAAAGCTATCCAGACAAAAGAAAGCATCTGGAATAAAAACCTCTGCAAAGGATGCCTTTTGTGTGCTTTCCACAAAGGCAGCCGAGTCTGTACTTAGCCATGGGACCTGGCTGGCATCGCCTCCAGCAGCAACCACCCCGGGTTGATGCCTGGAGCAAGAGCTACCCGAGTGACAGGAGCCACCAGGAGAGCTGGAGAAGGTGCTGTGGCTGCTGGCTGGACGTGGCACTCACCCAGCACACCCAGCTGAGCCAAGCCACCAGCCATGGCAACGGTGGGCACTGGTATGGTGGCTAGTGAGGCAGGGAGGTGGCAAGTGAGGCTGATGTGAGCGACCGAGCGTCCAACCCAAGTGGCAGCTACCCACTGGGAGCTCAGGACAACAAAGCTGGTGACTGAAGCCAGGCAGTGCCCTGGGGTAAGAAGCATCCTCTGAAATAGTCCCTGCAATTTTTTTATAGATTTAACTATTTTCGTTGAGTAGGAAGAGATCGTTTTCTTTTCTTTTCTTTTTTTTTTTTTTTGCTTTTTTTTTTTCATATTTTAGACAAAAGACCCCCAAGGAAAAGCAGCCTGTGTGCAACCCTTCTGCTACGCTCCCAGTCCACCCTGTACATCAGCGGGCCACCGGCACACACGAGCGACCGGGGCGAGTGCTCGACATGACTAATGGCAGGAGAAACCACACGTGCCCAACTGGAACAAAACCCTGAGGTCCCCGACAGAGTCAACTCGCTCATGCGGTGGCTGCAATATCTGATTGATTCCCCTGCCTGACCCAAGTCACGGGGAGGCAGCCCGAGGGTTATCTCGGCTCAGCGATGTGACCCGCTCTGGAGGGATGTGACCAGGGTGACCTGGCTGAGAATCTGCTTGCACGAATAATCCAACCCTACCAGCGTTGCTGAGCAGGTCACTGACATCATCTGAGAGACAGTAAGAAAACCCAGAACCGCTTTTTATATCCAAAGGATATAAAAAAATGAAGAAGAGGTAAAATTCAATGGCCAGTATGGGATATTCCTGAATACATTGAAAACGTAATTTTATTACTCTCACTTATTACTTATTTATGATATCACCAGAACCACCTGGAATCCACCCAAAAGTCCTAAAAGTACCAAAAGTGCTGAACACTCCAGTGTACTCTGACTGCACAAACCAGCCTCAGCCCAGACGAATGGAAGGGTGAAAAATATGTTTGCTATAGCACAGAGAGGAAGTAGCAAAGACAAGAACAAGTGGGATATGTCAGAGGAAAGTCGACAAAACATCATGTTGTCAAATTTATTAATGTTCTTGGGAGGACTCTGGATAACAGGGAGTCTTACTGGGTCTATGTTTCTTAAAAAATGTATTGGGCAAGGTCCCTCTTCAAAGACCCCTCATAAAACTTGTCATGGAAAAACTGGGTTAAGCATTCACAACCAGCTCAAGGTAGGGATAAGGGTCTGGTTTTGCAGTACAAGATTACTGAAGGTGTCTCCCCTTCTTCTCATTGTCCTGTGCTACCCATCATTTTCATAATGGACACGATGATGTCCCCCCAAGATGATGAACCAACTCAGTCTATTGTGGGAGAAAATACTGAGAATAGTGAATCAGATTGCACATCTCTGCTTTGCTCAGGGTCAGGCAGCATCCTGCCTTTTATCAAAACCTTTCTTTTTTTTTTGGGGGGAGTCATATATGCCTCATGAACAGTGACAAATGAAACATCCCATCTTACAGTTCGGCTTTTATTTTCATTTAATTTACTTGTCATCCTACAGGTTCTCTTTTATTTCTGGTCCTTATTTCTTGCAGAGCGTACCAGGTACATCAGCAGGTATGGTCTGCTCCTGTAGCTGACACTCTGCTGATCATCTTTGCCATGAAGAATCTCATGTTAACAGCCTGTTTCTTGTGGTACAAATAAAAAAAACCCTCCAGCCTTCCTTTGAGAAGTTATTTGTGGTTTTTCATCTTCTTCTTAAGAATTAAAGAAAAAAAGAAAAGGAAAAAATGCCGAATTTCTCCTATGACATTCTCTTTTTCCAACAGTTCTTCACTATGTACCTTATTTGTTGTCTTTCTAATGTATCCCTCCAGCAGGATTATGCTGCTTCACCTAAGTTTTGTCCTGTCAGTTCTCTGCTGCTTATACAGTTATCATTAAATGTTCCTGTCATATCTGAACCTTGCCGGGTTTTTTTGCCTCTTCATCTTTCCCAGCAATATGTAACCTGTTTTTGCTTGAGTACATGGTCATTAGCATACACAGCACGGCTGCTGCTGTTGTTATTCTTATTATTATCATAATGGCTGGGTCCAGAGGAGAGAAGCAGCTTTAGGCACTGTACAAACACAGACAATCCCTGACACAAAGAAAAAAAAAAAACTCTAGCATTGTTCGAAATAATTCTGAAATCATTCCTGTGAGTGTCCTACTCTCCTTCTGAAATATTCATTTTTTTCCCATCGGAAAGCTGCTACCACATGTGATGTGTTCAGCCCTCCAGTTTTTTGACAGAGTTGACTATTTTGCATTAGCTCTTCTTCACCACCTCACTTCCCAGCTGGTTTTAGTGACCACATTGCAGTTGCAGGAGGTGAATCCCCCAAGACTTCTCTCGCCAGAGGTTTCATAGAGTCATAGAATGGTTTGAGTTGGAAGGGACCTTAAAGATCATCCAGTTCCAACCCCCCTGCCCTGGGCAGGGACACCTCCCACCAGACCAGGTTGCTCCAAGCCCCATCCAGCCTGGCCTTGAACCCCTCCAGGGATGGGGCAGCCACAGCTTCTCTGGGCAACCTGTTCCAGTGTCTCACCACCCTCACAGGAAATAATTTATTCCTAAGATCTCATCTAAATCTCCCCTCTTTCAGTTTAAAACTGTTCCCCTTTGTCCTATCTCTACACTCCCTGATAAAGAGCGTGTCCCCCATATTGTGTGCTTTGGGGAATCCAGCCATGTATTAAGTCCCACAATAACAACAGAGAAACCCAGCCTTTGTTTCACAGTTGTACAGTCATCTGACCCTCTTGTCCATCCCCTGTGAAAATAACCAGAAAAAAAACAACAACAACAAAAAAAAACACCAGCCCTGCTGGCTTGGCTTTTATTTTGTCCACATTTTGGTCTTGAGATCAGATCTTCGCCTTGGAAAATGCTTTTACTCCCAGCCAACCACCAATGGTCCTGCACAATAGATCAGCAAGCTGAAGTCATGCCCGATCCACTGTCAGCAGAGGGACACAGCACCGAGCCCCAGAGAGCAGGAGATAGTTTGCATTTTGTCCTACTGCCAGGGCTCATCTGCATAGGAGATCAAAGGCAGTGGCTGAAGCACTGAAACAGCTTGTAAACAATCGGGCTGTGCTCATTAATACTGATTGATTACATTGTTTTCTTTCTGCTTCATTCATTTGGGAGATTGTCTATATTGAGCTACCCTATAGAAGGGTGGGTGGGCCGCTGTGGCGCCAAGGAACATGCTTTTGAGCCTTCGATGGGGCTGGCACTCAGGGAAGATGTGAAAGCAGCATCAACAGGTCTATGGTGTAAGTAATAAAACATGAAATATGTCTAAGCTTGGGGGTCAGAGGGCAGAAGTGAAGGTTAGAGGTCTCTGGCTCTCAGAGATATAGGCCCTAGACCATGATCTCCTGGTCCTTCTGTCAGCCGGAGTTTGGTACTTCCATGCCTTCTCTAATCCTGGCCTCATTCTCCCTCTGCAACACATCAGCCACCTACAGAACAAGCCAAGGAAGCCTTTCCATTGTAGGAGCAGAAGAAAGGCACTGAGCTACAGAGAGCCCAGGAGGGAAGGAGGGCACCATCCCATCCTAACAGTGGGGCTGGAGAGCTATGTGGACAGTGCACAACAAGGCGTGCTAGCGAGACTGGTGAGTTTAGAACTGGTATTAGGTAAAATGTCCTCACCTAGAGGGTCGTCAAGCATTGGAACAGGCTACCCAGGGAAGTGGTTGAGTCACCATCCTTGGAGATATTTAAAAGACATGGTGCTTAGGGATGTGGTTTAGTGGATGGACTTGGCAGGGTTAGGTTTATGGTTGGACTCGATGACCTTAAGGGTCTTTTCCAACATAAATGGTTCTATGATGCTATGATAGAGGCCATTCAGGAAGGTCCCCGGGGTTTTCTGCCCCCTGGTAACTCCTCTGGGAGGTTCCTGCAGCGATGCTGTTTGGGCTTATAGTCTTGCCTTATAATATTTATTTGACAGGGGGTGAAAGAAAGAGAAAGACACTAGGGTGGGGAAACAGGATGTGGAGTTTCCAAAACCTGGGCTCTGTCCCTGGTTGGGGAGGTATTCTCTGACCAAGACGCTGCTTTTCACATCTGTAGAATGGTGATAATACTCCTGGCTGACAGTGGAAGGCTTAATTGATTAATATGTGGAAGACACTATATTAATGCAAGTTATTATCCCTGGAAAATAAAGAAAAGCTAAAAATAGTGATAGTGAAGTACATTTTGACAGAGCTTTTGTTATTTTCTTTTTGTGTTCGGTTCCTTTGAGCCTGTCTTTTTCCTTGTTGGGAAATCCTAATTAACATTTTCATTTTCATTTCATTACTGGGTCCAGGTTTTGGTAATCAGCAGGCAGCCACTAATCATTCAGTCCCCAAACGAGATGAAGGCTTCCTGGTGTGAGGCACACTACAGGACCCTGTCCTCCGTACTCTGGATGGAGGCAGCGGAGAGGAGATGACCTGCCTGTAGTCAGACCAAATGCAAGTCGATAGGAGGCCACCATGATGCACATACCTGTCTGGTGGAGAAAAGACACAAAAGTGTCTTTATTACAGTAAGTGCTTCCTGGCTTCCAAGCGTCAAACAGAGCTTTGGGCAAGACCTGAGATACAGAAAGTTGGGTGGGGTGGGGAGGATATGAGGTTCCTTCTCTTCCTGGTGGACAATAGGATGACCATGAGCTGACAATGTGGCCTTGTGGCCAAGAAGGCCAATGGCATCCTGGGGGGCATCAGGAAGAGTGTGACCAGCAGGTGGAGGGAGGTCATCCTGCCCCTCTGCTCTGCCCTGGGGAGGCCCCAGCTGGAGCACTGGGACCAGTTCTGGGCTCCCCAGTTCCAGAAGGACAGGGAACTGCTGGAGAGGGGACAGCAGAGGGCTACAAAGATGATGAGGGGCCTGGAGCATCTCCCTTACAAGGAAAGGCTGAGAGACTTGGGTGTTTTAAGTCTGGAGAAGAGAAGGCTGAGGGGGGATCTGATCAATGCTTATAAATACTTAAAGGGAGGGTGCCAAGAGGATGGGGCAGGTCTTTTTTCAGCGGTGCCTAGGGACAGGACAAGAGGAAATGGGCACAAACTTGAATAGAAGAAGTTCCACCTAAAGATGAGGAGGAACTTCTTTCCTTTGAGGGTGGCAGAGCCCTGGAAGAGGCTGCCCAGGGAGGTGGTGGAGTCTCCTTCTCTGGAGACATTCAAACCCCACCTGGACATGTACCTGTGCAACCTGCTCTGGGTGGACCTGTTTTGGCAGGTCCCTTCCAACCCCATGTGCTTCTGCGAATCTGTGATTAATTTTCTTCTCGACGTTGCAAAACGACAGTGTCGGTGGGTAAGGAAAGCTGTTAGCACTTGTGTGTGAATGACCTGACTGTCTTCATCAGACAGACAACACCACAATACCATATAACAATACCATTAATAATTATACGTGGGCTGACTGATATGGGAGCCTCCCACCTCGCAAGCTCCCTTCTGGAGGAGCTGTGTGGAGCGGGATCGTCTGCCGATGAATTAATTAATCATGGTGTGAATCTCTGCGGCCGAGCTGTGCTCTGCACGGGGGTAGCACACACCAGCTGCATATTGAGAGGCTGAAAACTTTGCTCCCCCCCCCCCCCCCTTCAAACTCTTGCAACTCACTTGGGGATGGGGGAGAATTTTAATGTGGCGCTCAGCTGTTGC